TTTCTTTAGCCCCAGTTATTTCTGTACTTTGCCCAATATTGGCTGCTCAATTGACCCTTTCGCAAGGAGTTTGATTAACAGGCAGTCTGACATATTATAATTCTGAATCCGTCATTTTTGTCCAACAAACAAACCAGACAGGAGAGTAGATTAACGTTGGTGGACTTGAACTTGAAAAATAGTGTATTGACATCTTTTCACAGTCGAAACAAGATACCTTCTGATGTTCATTCATGTTTATTTCGTGTGCCGCTTGAACTGAGGCGCTACAGCGATCTGTCATGACACGTTAAAGAGACACAAAACAGTATTTGTTGTTTGAATTTCTTTTTTAAAAAAGACAAAATTTTAACACTGAGACTTTATTTCATACTAAAAGTAACCAGCTCTGTCTTGTCTGTCAGCTCATTGTCAGTGTCCTCTTTGCTCCGTGATGTATTTTTCAATGCGTGAGAACATGATGTATGGCATAAAAGTGCTATGGTTTGTCGGACGTAGCAACAGTAACTAAGGGGGGCAGGTTTTGCGAAAGGTCAATTTAGAGTAGGGGGAGATTGCTGGCTCAGGTTCTGAGATAACAACATGAACATCTTTCTTATAGTAGAAAATGACATGTGGAGTTTGTGCTAGAGTGCAGGGTCAGAATTAACATGCTGCCTATGGTGAGCGTAGGGCTGGGCGATTTCGCAAAAAAATTAAATCTCGATTTTTTTCAGAACGTTTGACCGATTCTCGATTTTTTTTACGATTTTTAACTAGTCAACTTAAAAATGTTACTACAACATCATTCAAAAAGCTTTTTCTTTATTAACCCTCTAGTTAAAAAAAATCCTATTCTAAGTGCAGCACACATGAAGTTGTCAACATGATGTAAATGTTAAACAAATCACTCTGTAGTTCATGCAGAAAAGATGCATGGACTACAACTACATCCTGTACAAACTTGTCTTATAGCCTACATGTTATCTGTTCAGAAATAATAGGCTACAATGAAAATGCTTCAAAAAATTCTCAACAGTCAATGCAATTCAAATTCAAAATGACTGCTTTTATACATAGAATCCAAAAAGTGTACATTTCTAAACTGCGCACTTGTAAATATATCTGTACATTGATTTAAATGGTTACATTTCTCTATATTTCAACTTCTGTATATAGGCTAGTGCATTATTTAATCTTCTGTTTTTCTTATATTAGTGTTATACTCCATCTCTACTGTGAAATTCCTATGTCTGCTGCACTAGTTTGCACTATGTCCATACTTTCTTCTGCACTGGACGCTCCTGTCACTAAGTCAAATTCCTTGTCTGTGTAAACATACTTGGTAATAAAGCTCTTTCTGACTTCTGAAGGTATAACACCACTAGACTATTAACAATAAATGTTCTGTGAAACAATGAACAGCAGCTTTCAGCCTGTCACCATGATGCAAACATGAACTATTAGACATACAGTAGTAGTTCTTAACAGGTTTTTTATTCGATTGCGCAGCTTTAGTTCTTTTCTCTTTACTGTTATCATTGGCATATTGGCAAGTGTCTAATTCTAACGTTTGGCAATATTTCTATTCAAAATCGCGATTCCTCGATTTCTAAAAAATTAAATCGCGGCAAAACATTAAATTCAAATTAATTGACAAAATCTGAAAAATCGCCCAGCCCTAGGTGAGCGTTTATTTTACTTTGCAGTGTTTGCAGTGGAATCTGGCAGAAGATATTTAAATAGTTATTAATAAATAAATAATAAATTACTAATAAATGCGTATTTGATAAAATAAAATTACATGCTCTGAATTATTATTTTTTTGATTTTTTCTCATATTGTACAAAGATTAAACATAAACCGTCTGAAATGACCCAAATTGCATAAAAATCTATTCCAAATTATACTAAAATAAGATATTTTATGTATATAAACCATCAATTGAATATAAAAGCACAAAAACTGCCAATCTGGGACATATATCTATAATGGAAAACACTCTGCAGTGGTCGCACCACATGATATTTGGTCGCAGCACATGATATTTTCAAATTCAGTCAAAATTTACAAGCACAGAATTGGCCACCTAAACAAAACAAGCTAGCTTCCCACAAAAGGTCACTATGAAATTTATAATGAAAATAAATACTTGCAGAAATAACTTAATATTCATTGTTTTTTGAGGTCATACCACATGATATCCAAATGTGGTAACTACATACCAGCCGTTAAAAAGGTTATTTTTT